GCTGTAGGTAAGGGGGCGGCGGGGGGGACGGGGCGCGCATGATCGTGAAGAGATCGCGTGTAGGCGCCCTTGCTTTCTTGTTCGCCGTTTCGTTGCCTTTTTGAGAATTTAGGTTCCCAAGTTGCATGCAGTAAGAGGGGGGACGCCCCGGCCCGCTTGCTGCGGAGCTGCTCTTCCCGAAAGGCCCCTCCTTTTGGCGAAGGGAAGGAAGATTGATCCCTTATGTATGCATAAATTTGTTTTCTTCAACGCTGATGCTAAGAATCAGCTCCTCGCAAAAGAAGGGGACTTGTTTTTTGTGTTTTTTTTCTTTAAAATGGGTGCGGGTGGTGCGGGACAGATTGCATGTGGCTCCTGCGGGTGCGCGGGCCTGCCGGGCGGCAGAGCCTGGGTGGAAGGAAAGTGAAATCCTCGCCATTTGTCCCAGTGTTCCTGGAAAGAGAGGTGCGAGAAAACTGGCCAACTCCTGCAGCGTGGTGAAGTTGGAAATGCTAAGCACAGAGAGGAAAAAAAATGAAAAATAAGTAAACCTAAATACTCCCCTACTCCGGGAAGATGGTTATTCAGAACAAAGCGTGTGCACAGCAGTATTTAAGAGGACATTGTTTTTTTTTGTCTGCATTGCAAATAAATCTTTGGTCAGATGAAACTTTCTGGTGCCTTTTGCATGTCTTGTAAGTGAGACGTTTACAGAACGGGTTTTGTTTTGTTTCAAGAGGAAGACACCGTTGGATAAAAATGTTAGCATGCACATTTGGAAGCTTAAGACGGGGAAACTTGGAATTCAGATCAAGAAAGCACAGTCCCTCTGTGCAAATATTTCATTAAACTGTTTGCTAACCAACAGCAAGTATGTTAACATTTATTTAATAGAAAAGTGTGTCAAAAGGCTTTCCACTGTTTGCATTTTTAAAAAGATGGGCCTTTCTGCTGGGTTGCAGGGACTCTTTGGCTAGCTTCTCCTTAGCTGAGGAAATGGCACCACTGCTTCAGTTAACTGGCTGCTGTGACAGTAGGAGATGCCTCGATGTCTTTTATTTATGTGCTGCTCCTAAGCTGTCACAATTTGAATGAGAGTTCATAGGTGCTCACTAAAGTTTTAACTCTAATTGGAACATGGTGCAGCTTCCTTCATCACATGGACTTGGCTCTGCAAATGTTTCCGTCACATAATTTGGAAACAAGGAGGGGTCTCCTCCGTTGGTGCTGTTTAATGTAGGGGTAGTGCTTTTAACAGTGACTGTTAGAGAAGGAGAAAGGGGAAGGCAGAGCTGCACTTTGCTGAAGATCTTACAATTTTTAGCCTAAAAAGTAAAAATGCGGGGTTCCTGGTCTGCATTCTTGGCTGAGGGAGAACTGATTCTGAAATCACTAGGAGCTTTGATTCCTTAAAACGTGCAAAATAGGCCCCTTACAGTTCAGATTTAAGGAGTAAAGGTTGCAAATCTGGGGTGCAAGCTGGACAAAGTCTGCAGAACCTGTGGGATGTGTAATGCCTGCCTCATCATGAGGACCACTCCACTTTCAGCTCTAAATCCAAAACCACCTGGTACACACCCTTCCCAAGCAGGAAGGCATCATTTGCCTTACACAGAACTAGGTCCTTCATTACGTGCTACGTTTTTGGTCGATTGTAGTTTACAGAAATTGCTACAAATTGGTGATGGATATTAGAGTAGCTTCTCAGCAACAGCTGTAGTAGACCATTGACTTACTTTCCAGTTTTTGGGTTGGTTTTGTTTTTATTGCACAAAAGTGTTACCTAGTAGTGTGCACGTCAGTCCTTCCAATCTTTTAAAAAAGAGAGCAAGTAATTCTGGTAGCAGTTTTGTTTGTTATGAGGGTTCAAAGCTGGCATGGTACCAACTTTTGTGAAACTGGGCTAATCAAATAAGCTTTACAGTTTAAAATGTGGCATTATGACCAAATACATTATGACCAAACTGAAGTGTAAGAAATGCTATTGAAATGTGATGGTCTATCTAAACTGAAATGATCAGCCTGGTAATTATTTAATGCACATTTAAGAATATTTTCTACTTATTTTTGCTAGGGGAGGCAAACAAATGAACTGGACTGGTTGCAGAAAACTTAGTACACATAGTATTTATATTTAGGAGATTCAGGTCTGTAACATTTTATTGTGCAATTTCTTGCAAACTTTACATAGAGAATGTGGAAAAAAATAACCAGTTTAAAAACAGGATATTAAACCACAAAAAAATATGTTCAAATACTGCTCAGAGTCTTGAGTTAAACCCCCAAAAGCCGGGAAATTTAGACTGAACTTCCTTAATCCATTTGCACTAGTAGTTGGATTTTCCTGGTTAATTATGTCAATTGCCAACAATGGCTACACTAAAACCACTGGTACCAAGATCTTAACTTGGATGCCTTCTCCTCTTCCTCATATTCCTCCCCTATTCCTGTGGATTGACAGTGTCACTGTACTGCCTGTGTTGAAATATTTGGAGTCCGTGGACTATGTGAACATGGCCTTTCACGTTCAGCGCTGAATTTCTTGGCTTTTCTGGTTTTTCAATGAGTCATCAAGTACAATTTTAATACAGATTTCCAGGATGGTCCTTGCACATCAGTTACCATTCTGCACTCCCAATATGCTTGTCTTAAAAAAAAAAAGTGTTCAGCAGCCAAGGCAGTAACTAGTAGGACTCAGCTGATAGGAATATTCACACTTTAAGAATTCCCTGGAGGAAGTGCAGCCAGTTCCAGTTATACTGCAGCAGTCCTAAGAGGGAGAAATCCAGTGTAGACAAATGCCTGACAGGGTACAGGAACACTGGGCTTATGCAGTATTTTTGAAAAATGTGCGTCTCCTCTGTTTTTGTGGATGGTAGTTTAAAGAGAAGATGAAAGCAGATGTTTGTCCTTTGACACCATTACAGAATAAATGGCCTTTTTTGTCCATTACCTTTAAAATGTATTTTGTGCATCTAGAAATGTTTCTGATTTTACTAGCAGAAGAATAAAAACGTATGGTGTTTTTTTCCTTCATATTCTGGATGTTGAATAAAATTAAAAAAGAAAGTGTTAAAAATAGCAAACTAGAACTGTGAAACTCAGCACTGTAAAATTTATTGTATTAACGGCTCTTTAAAAAGTAATAATAAAAAATACCGTCCTAGGGAAGAGTCACACTACAGGCCCTAAGGCACCCAAGCCAACCGCGTTTAACTGAAGTCGATTAAATCAGCTGTGGCTCAGCAGCGGCGGGGGGGAGCGCTCGGCGTTCCCAGCACCGGGCGCGGCTGCTGCGCCCTCCCGCTCCAGACTGGGATCCGATGGGCGGAACTGCAGCCGGCGCCGAGACGCGAGAAGCCGGGGAAGTGGGTGGGGACTTTCAGCCAAGCGGAGGTCGCTGGTTTAGAGGTGGTGTGCAGCCATCACGGGTGGTTTAGTGGGAAGTGTTAAAAATAGCAAACTAGAACTGTGAAACTCAGCACTGTAAAATTTATTGTATTAACGGCTCTTTAAAAAGTAATAATAAAAAATACCGTCCTAGGGAAGAGTCACACTACAGGCCCTAAGGCACCCAAGCCAACCGCGTTTAACTGAAGTCGATTAAATCAGCTGTGGGTCAGCAGCGGCGGAGTGGAGCGCTCGGCGTTCCCAGCACCGGGCGCGGCTGCTGCGCCCTCCCGCTCCAGACTGGGATCCGATGGGCGGAACTGCAGCCGGCGCCGAGACGCGAGAAGCCGGGGAAGTGGGTGGGGACTTTCAGCCAAGCGGAGGTCGCTGGTTTAGAGGTGGTGTGCAGCCATCACGGGTGGTTTAGTGGGGTACCTCGCGAGGCTGCCAGGAGCAAGGGGATGCCTCAGGCACAGAAGTCGTTGCTTGGCAACAAAGGTGCTCATGCATGGGGAGTGCTGAGGTGGTAATCTTTTTAATATATTGCTATTTTGTAAAGGAAAATTAAGCATGTAGGCCAATCTAGTGGCTTGCTGCCCTTCGAAGTGCAGCTGGCAGCTGTTTAACATTGTTTCTTCACTGCCTTTGTTCTTCTCGAAGGAAATTCCAGTGATTCACAAGAGGACCAGAGTTCCAGCAGTGTAGAAAATCAGGCCATCCCAAATTCACAAAGGGTGCCTCATCCTAAATCGCATCCACCGCACATAAAAATGGATATAATCAGGAAAGTGCAAGCCAAAAATACTCAGCGCTATAAAGTGGAATACGATTCACAGAATGTGGATACACTGAATTTGTCTTCCAAATCCAAACAGGAGACTGAATATGTAAGTATTTCCCAGAATGTGTGCATATGTATGTTGTGCATATGACAAGATAAATAAATGAAATAACTAAATGGTGGTAACTGTTGTAGCCACTTAGGGCTAACTGTTTAACCAATAAAACTGTCAGCAGACCAAGCAGATCACATTCAGAAAACATAGAGACCTAAAACAGTGATGTTTACACTGATGCAAGTATGATTTTCACTAATTCATTTCTTAGAGATCAAAACTTTTTCTGTCCTGTAATTTCCACACATTTAAATGAGTGGACTTGGGACAGCTGTAGTAGTCTCTTCATTACATTTGATTGCAAACAGCATTATTGGGTTGCAATAATGGAAAAAAGATGTTTTGCCTTCAGTAGTGTAGTGGCACTGTGTTCACACTCCATGACCTAGATCTTGGGAGATGAATTTAGGCTGGATTTAATAGGATCTTTACTGATCAGTCATTGTTTGTATGATGTGCTGAACACTGCCTCGACTTGGTGTTGTTGTTTGGTGCCACTGCCTGAATGCTCAAAGTCACACAACCTGCCATTGCTTCCTACTGACTGTGCCCAGTGAATTTACAGGACAGTCGGTGTGTGGTGAATACTTGGGGAGAATAATTCATCTTCCTGGAAATCCTGGCAGATAACTCAGTGTTTATCCTTGTGCCTGTACTAGATAGCCTAAACAATATGTCTGGATATACTAAGAGATTTCATCAAAACACTGGTGGTGAAACCAGGCATAACTTCCCATCTGCAAAAGAAGGTTTTAAAACCTGTGTGAGGTGGATGGTTGTGACTGAAGATAGTGTGGCCTCTACGTTAACAGAGCAAAGGTGGTGAAGCTGCAGATTTAGTATGTCACTGGTGTCCAGCCATCTAGTGAAAATTAGTATCTGCATTCCAGCATGTACTCCATCAAAAAATATGAAGTAAACTGCCAACAGTAAAAGCTTTGGTAGCTCTGAGGAAATAGAGTCCTGGGTCTTAACTAGGATGAATATTTCACTTACATGGTGGTTGAGGCCCATGAGCAAAGATGTAATGACTTACCAGGGGTGCTGGTGTCTGTAAGAACCAGAAATAAATCCATGGGGGCCAGGTGCTTTTGTCACTAAATGCTCTTCTAGCTGTGACTGCCTGTTCACTTTTGATATTGATCTGTCTGACTGTGGAAGCCTGCATCAATAAAAAGAAAAAAATCCGTTGATCTTTTAGTAAGCCTAACCTGGGACCAAATCTTTGAACATGTTTGATTTGCAGTCACTGTCTGAGAAGTTTCATTTTTTAATGAACTGCAAATAAGAGCAGCTAGTTAAAGTGCCAGTTTAGAACTTGTGAGATTGATATTAAAAGGAAATATATGAAAGCAGCAATGAAGGTCTTTGCTAACAACAAAAAAATAATTTTAAGCTCCAGTAGAACTGTGGAGTCTGTATGCTTTCAGACACTCACTTGAAAGGCACTTTACATGAGCAAGCCACTTGGAAGTATAAATGTCAATGCTTCACTAATTAAACTTTAAACCAAATAAATATTTGGTTTGATACAGCAACTTAAACATTTTGAACTTATGCAGCCATGCAAAGAAAGTTTTTGAGATCTCTTCTGGAGAAGCGGGCTGGTGGACTGAGTAATGTGGCCAGACAGGAGTGTAGCTTAACACAGAAACTGGCAACTGCTGTCCAAAGTTGCAGTATTTTTATGTGTGCATTTTACATATGTATTTACATAATGCATGTATATGCATTATGCCAAGCTATGTGTTTTCAATTCAATCCATTCATTTAAGCTTTCAAATCTGTCAGAATCACAAAAATTAAATAGCATTAGGGAAAATCTACCAAGTGGTATCTTCTCAGTTGCCTACTTAGTTCTTGTTTTTCCACTTGGTGCAAGGCCAGACTTTCCAAACCTAAGTTATGTTATATGTGATTTATGTTCCTGCTGGTTAAGCCTTCCAGTAGCTAGATGTGGCTGTGATTTCAACTGGAAATGCCAGTCTGTGCCTCAGCATAGCATAGTGTCTTCACTATTTAGAAATTGGTTTATTCTGAATAAAGCAGAAAGTCAGAATTTTGTCTGTGAATGGTCTGCCTTTTGGGAGAACCAGCATCCCTTTTTTAATGGATTTGCTTGTGTTTATGCTTCTTGCCCTTTAAAGATTTAACTCTTGTGTGAAAGAAAGCATTTGGGAATGAAGTTTCATTTTTCCAAAACATGCTTGTTAACAGGGTCCCTGTCGTAGAGAAATGGAAGACACTTTAAACCATCTAAAGATCCTGAATGTCTTGAGTCCCAGGGGCTTTCATATTCCAAATTGTGACAAGAAGGGATTTTACAAGAAAAAGCAAGTAAGTACAGAGTCTTGACCATTTCAGTGAATTCACATTTTCTGCATCATCACTGAAGGATCTTGCCAGCAAGGTGCATTATGTATTGTTTTACAGAGGAACTAGTTTATTTCCAGTTTTAGGACCTGATCTTATAGTGAACCTTGTAAAGTGGGGAGAATGTTTTTATTTTCTGTTGATCATGACAGCAGATTCCTTTGAGAAACTTCATACCTCATCACACATGGGTTGGCTGGTGTCCTAGATGCTAATGCCCTTTGGTTTTAAAAAAAGCAGCACCTCTGCAATAACCCACAGAGCTGAATGTTGCAATCATCATATGACTGCAGTAGATCAATTGAATTGTAAATAGCTGCTTAAGAGTTCCTAGAAGTACTGCGCTGGGTCATATTACAAAAAGCAACTCAGAAAGGTATGTATCTGTCCTTTATGAGCTACACAGATCACTTCCAAAATCATGTTATTGTGAAAGTGATACATCTAGTAGTTAACTCTGCAGCAAGGATGGATTCTCAGCTGTTTTCTGTTCTGGGGTTGTGACCTTTCTTGACAAATGTAGACCTAAGCTGCAGGTATTTATGGGCTAGTTGTGTCAGGTTGAGCTATGGTAGCATTCTCCATTCAGTTCTCTCCTTGAAGCTCATTGAGGAACAACTTGCCAGGTTCTTTGCTTAGTGTGCACATCCCATCTAATTCCAGTGTTTGGTTAGTAACCTGACTCCAAATGTGTTTCTTGCTATAATTCCAAAATTTCCTAAATTCAAATGTTTCTTTAAGATTTGCCTCAAAGAAAACCCATCTGTAAGGACAGATTCTGTTTATGGACCATCTTGATTCTTCCATTTGGGTTTACACAAGTCAGCCTCTCTATCTCTTGTAACCAAAGGAGTTGCTGACTCTCTGTTACTATCTAAAGCAGTTCATTGGTTGTAAGTGAGAGGGCAACCTCTGACCAGGCCGCCTTATTTTAGGAATGCTATATCTGAATTTTTTGGCTTCCAGTTTTCTTAGAAACAGTATTTCTCTTTTGGATATTCCCTGAGATTCTGTGTTAAGCTGGCAGTGTCAGGTGGGGCATTTGCAGTAGGGGAGAGGTTTCCAGCCTTCCCTTCTGCCATCATCCCAGAATTGACTGTGCTGTTTGAACTTCAGTGTGTGCTGCTGAGCTTTTCTATGCTCCTCAGCTTTTCCTGAGCAGGTGGTGTCCCCAAGCAGGGACAGAGTTTCTTTTTGTTGTCTGGAGTTTTGAGAAGCTGTGTTGTTCACATTCTGCTGTGTGTAAATTAGCACAGAGAAATGCTCGCATCTCAGCCTGCTTTTGTTTAGAGAATATGTCAGACTGTTACATGGAATGCAGCTAGGACTGTGTTTTGTGCCTGTGCAATAAAAGTATTTGCTCAGTTACTCTAGAACGGCACATCATTTAACTGCATTCAAGGCACACAAGTGTACTGTAGCCCTTTTCCTTCTCTATGCATTACAGAAGACGGCATATATATGCCTGGAGACTTTCAAACTGCTTTAGGAAATGTTCCTGCACTATGTGAAACAGCCCATCTGGTCAGAAAACACAGAAGATGAAAGGGCACTTTCATACCTGGCCACCCTTATCAAGCATCATGCCAATTTACACAGGTCCAGTAGTTTCAGTGGTAGTTTGAGACAACTAGGGATCTTGTAGGAGGTGCCCACAAATGGAGCCCATGTGAGTAAATACATGAAATGCAGTTGGGAGTGCTTCTCCTGTAAATGAACCTCAGTCAGCCCTGGGAACAGGTCTTCACAGATAGGGCTGATAGAGGCAGACTGCTTCTCACAGGAGCAAAATGCAAACCAGAAAAAATGTTTTTTAGTTACCCTTGTAGAATTAACTTCCAGAAAGAAGCATCGGTTTGAGGACTGAGTCTGACTCACTGGCTGAATTCACTGTCTGCAAAGCAGCGTGACCATTCTATTTGGTTTTATTTTTGAAGCATCAACATGTAGGTCTGATATGTAGATGGTATGTGTCTGATGTCTAATCTCATTAACAGAACACTAGGCTATTTTAATAATTTCCTTTGTTGTTATTATTAGCAGCATTCAATCTGTAATTCAATTGCATTCTGTTGTAACAACAAAATTAAAAAGAAAAGGTCAGGAAATAGACAGTAAATGTATCAGAAGTAAGTTCAAGCTAGCCATTGTTAATTCTGGGAACAGCTACCAAAACTACAGCCTAGGATGGTAGATAGGGGTGTGATAGTAGGAATCTGATAAATTATGATCACCCTGGAAACCAATAAAACTCATTCAGGAGGCACTTGACATTTTACTATATTGTGTCTTTCTGATCACCTGCTCTTCCAGTCAAGTTGAAAGCAGTTATTTCTCAAGATATTTGTGAATATTTTGAAATTGACTTTCCAGGAACAACCATGGGGAGTAATTAGCACATGTGAAAAAACATTAAGAAAATTAATTTATCTATCAGGGTATAACATGAAAAGTATTTAATACCTTGTGTTTATATATAGACATTTTAAAAAATCAGACCTATTAAAATTTAGAAGTCTTTTTCTTAATAAATCACATATATAAGGTTGTACTATGCAATTGTGGTATATAGATTGTGAAATAGGTTGATACAGGCACAGTACTGCCTCAAGCAGTGGAAAAAAGGTTTTGATGCAGTTAGAATTACTATATGGGGTAATTACTAGAATTGCCCCGTATTTGTGCATTAGAGCCAGATACTCACCTAAATGTGAGCTGGCATCGTTCCACTGAAAACAGAGCTGGGTTTGGCAGGAGCCAAAACGGCCTGAGGTATATGTCTGCAGTCTGTTCTGGGAGACCACAGTTGTAGCTCCACAGAGATCCTTGGCTGACTAGGAATTCAATGGGATACCATATACTTTGCTGTGCCCCACAAATGCCTCTGCGGGCCTTCTTTGTGGAAGGGGGAGGGGCAGGTGGCGTTTCTATCAGACGTAGTTACTGTCTCCACCACTTGGGCAGTTTTCCAGCTTTTTGGACTTTTGAAGTAATACAAAAGAGCTGGGCAGAGCCTTGAAGATGATGTGCAGTACAAAATTGAGAGGAATGGATTTTATTGGGGTTTTTTTCCCCATATGAACGGTCTACCACTTCTCTAGCTGCTTCAGGATAAAAGCATCACTTTTGAATCAGAAGTGCATTAGTATTGACAGCATGGCTGAGTGGGTAGTACAAAATCACAGACTGGAAAAGGTAAACAGTTTCCTTACAAAATGTTATTTCAGCTGTAGAATGATCTTAGGGTTTCATTTTCCAAATGGGTTGTCTAGAAGAATAAAAAAATATTATTAGTAGGGGAGCTGTTCTGCAGACTAACTTCATGTTGTAGTTAATTCCAAAAATTGATTATGCAACTGTAAAAAGCAATCAAAACCTCCAACAACATAAGGTAATTTTAATTGATCATTTGTTTTGAGAGTGATACAAGCCTATGAATCAGCAAGAGTTGTGTAACATACTTCATATAGTACTTCTAAAATGGGCGGCTGTGTTACTATTATTAGCAGAAGTGTAGTTTCATTGCTGGAGCGCCAGGCTGGCAGCCAGAAGCCCTGTGCTCTAATTTGGGCTCCATCTGTGCCTGGTTGCTTGGGAAAAACAACTCAAGAACTGCTGTCTCAGTTTCTTTCTCTGTAAAATTTAAATTGTGCAAAAGATGTTGTTTAGTAATTTCTCAGTTTTGGAGCATGAAGAATTTAAGTCACTAAATGCCACTTAAGCTGGAGTCCAGTCCAGACCCCCACCGGAATTGAAAGAAAATTTCCCACTGACCTCAGTGGATGTTGGGCAGCCATTTACAGAAATCCTAGACAATATCATAGAATCATAGAATGGTTAGAGTTGGAAGGGACCTTAAAGATCATTGAGTTCCAACTCTCCTGCATGGGCAGGGACACCTCCCACTAGATCAGGCTGCTCAGAGCTCCATCTAGCCTGGCCTTCAATGCTTCCAGAGATGGAGCTTCCACAGTTTCTCTGGACAGCCTGTTCCAGTGTCTCACTACCCTCACACTAAATAATTTCCTCCTGATCTCTAACCTAAATCTCTCTTCTTTCAGTTTAAAACTGTTGCAGTTAAAATATGCACAAGCCCTAGTCAGACTTTTGAGACAATACACATAATCCGTAAAACTTACTTATATTAAAAGATGTAGTACAGCAAATCAGCCAAACAGGTAATTAGAACTCAAATGCAGCTAACCACATGGTTTAGCTAATTATTAATGTAGGTGTTCTCTCAGTAAATTTGAACTTCTTTACTCTATACTTCACTAAAATAAGCTGATGCATAGTTTAAGCCTGATCTTGTCATCATCCTGCTGCCATCTGTTTGCATAGGACTAATGCAGAAGGGCTTCAAATTCAGAGAAGACATATGATTTCTGCATTGGGCTTGTTACTCAAAAATACATCACAAGGGTAGGTTAATTTGCAGGTACAGTGATTACCATTACTTAATTTACTCTAAAATAAACAAGATGGAAGCTTGTTTAGAAATTTGTGTCTAATGTGTGATCTTATCCCATCTGTCATTCACAAGTTTGTAGTGAAGACTGTCTTTCCTATTTCATGCTGACACAAATCAGTTGGGTCAGGGGCCAGTGTGCTGGTGCAGGCTGTCCCATGAGTCACCCAAATTCACAGTTCTGTCCAAAATACCACCCTTTCACCTGAGGCCCTAAAGTAGGTGTAGAGGGGGTCAATCACTTTGTGCAGCCCAACATTGCCTGATGTTTCCTTGCATACCTGCATGTGGAAAAGACACTTAGCTTTGTAAGCCACTGCCATACCCACATGGGAGATGGGGACACACCTGTTAAACTCTGGAGGACAAGCAGCTGAGTGGTGGTGGCAAAGTTTACCTGACTAGCCTGAACCTGTGAAAGACTTGAATTGCTGGGGGTGTAATCTCAGAGCATTTGCTCTGCTTGAATGGTAGCCTTTATATTGTTGGGGGCCATAAGTGGCTTCAGTCTAGCCTGTACTCCTTCACGTTGGCAGTGTAACAGATGAAACCGCAGTCTTTGAAAAGTTATGAATATTTTTGTCACCACTTTCTTTGTAAGTCTGTCCTGACTGAACAGCCACCTTGTTAGCATTTAGAGCAAATCCTGTCTCACCAAGTCTTAAAACTTGAGCTGACATGAAGGCTGTGTCTTGGCAATTAAGTTTGCCATGGCAAACCTCATGAGATAACTTGTGTCCTGGAGGCACATCTTTTGAGTTGATGAAGACCTTGCGGGATCTCAGAGGTTCACAGTATGTAACTGTGTCCAGGATTGCATGCTGAATGCAACCTGAAGAATGTTATCTCCTTTGGTCTAGTTTTTGCCATTGTTATTTCCTTGTGGAGAGCATTACTCAGTACTGTGAAGGAGCAGATATTTCCTTACACGCACATAAAATGGCCTGTAGGTCAGCAGTCGTAACCGGCTTACAGATGGCTGCTCCGTGGCGCTCTGAGCCCGCTCCTGCCGCCCCCTCTGCCGGAAAGCTCGGACGCCCTGAGGGGGCAGCTGCTGCTGGAGAGGAGCCGTGGCGGGAAAACAGCAGCAAAGGAGCAAAGGAGACCCATAAAAAAAGCGTCCGCGCTGCTGTGGGGGGGGCTTTGTCAGACGGTGTGCCCGCTGCTGCGTTTGGGGGTGATCTTCGCCTTGGGGGGTGCCTGCCAGCCAGAGGCCCCCGCTCCTATTTC